GAAAAGGGCAAAGCATTTTACCCGCTAAAAGTGCTCTTCTGCAATAGAGAGCTTCTACATAGCTCATGAAATTGAAAATATGCGAACCATGCAATCATTCCTTGTAAGACCCAAAATTAAACATGCCTCATGCTACCTCTGCCCCAATTCCATCCAAAAACCTAAAGCCACCCATATAGGTAAGACAGCCGAAAAAAATCAAAGACATATCTGTCCCTAATTAATAGCTCAAAACGAAAACGAAAAGGAATACTATGTAGATGAAACACACAGCTTTGCTCGATACGACACAAGTTGTTGTTTGGCTTCTCTTGCTTCTTCAATGAGCCTTTGATTTTCCAGTGCGTAAGAAAGGCAGTCGGCCCTGGTCTTGAAAGATCATTTTTCCACTTAGGAAGTAATACATTCGAAATGAATCGTTATTACTTACTTGGGACAATAAACCTTCGCTTTCATGCAGCGTGAGAGTGAGTTCGTCACAGCGAGCACGCTCAAGAGCGAGATCCGTGGAGGTACGCGATAGGTGGTCCTCAGTCTGAACAGCTGGCTTTAACTACTTCAGCTGGAATGACACACTAGATCAGGCCTATTAAAGTATACCTGCTGACATTTCAGCTCAGCATCTCGCAGTTTACTACTCAGCTCATGAATTTGCTCGTCTTTCTCTAGAACCTGAATTTGAAACATGAGTTCAATCAAACACAAAGCGCGCTGGTCCGTACGATTTCCTATCTTTCACACCTTTTCTGCAATCCCTCTCATTAAGTTGCTACCACCCTGCTGTAATTTATGCCGTAACATGTTAGATCAAACCCCTCTGTAAGTTGTCCTAATCCTCTACAGAATTCCTTGTTTGTTGGAGTGCCATCATAAGAAGATTTCAGATACCCTGAGTAGTGTGATTCCTTTTGGCACCAGCGCATTTCAATATCGGACTGGGCTCCTCAATCTCCTTGGCAGTTTCCATGGAGTCACATATAAGAACCTTACCCACGTGCGTATGTGGGAAGTATCTGCCCCCCTTCCTTGATCATTTAACCATTAACGGGCCGCTGCCTTCACATATTCCACCTGTTCTTCTTTACGAGTTCGGACCCAGCCACTCCGTTGCAGAAGCCTGTCTATAATTTAAACACTGTGCCCTAAAGAATTATAAGGATTCTGTCCACGTCTAGTTTAAAGCGTCAAACCCGAAAGTAAATAATAAGGCGACTCGATGAGCCTTCACTTGGTAATATCATGAAACTTCTGGATAGGTCATCATGTGTGTAGGGTCGTTTTGTAGTATTTCTATGGAAAGTTTTTGTGCTAGACACATGAATATCATCTCTCAAACCAGAAAAAGCACTCTTTTGCGAAAATAAAATAGAACTCACCAACTTTCTACTCAGGCCGAGATCGTCATGTAAAGACTTTGACATATTAACCTCCTTCTCAAGCCTCGATCGAATGTCCTCGATCTCAATCTGCGCATTTTCTAAGGATACCTGCAAACGATATTCAACCATCTCATGCTTAGAGAAAGTGTCATGCAATTCTGCAATGGGAAGTAGTAGGCGGTATAGCATCGCCAATCACATGCAACATGACATCGAATTGCGGCAACTTTGAAAAATATTAATAATAAAGCA